TGTCTAATCGCTTGTATTGCTTAGTAACTCTTAACAAAACTAAAAATTTAAACAAAAAATACCTAATATACTATGTACACTTAAGTGTTATACAAGTATATATATATTGTTAGCATATAATATATAGTTAACATAGAAATTAAATAACAAAATATTGAGATTGGGATATTTGTTTTGAAAACAATGTACGCCATCTGTTTTTGAAAAATATTGTTGTAAAAACCACCTAAAAATATATAGGCGAAAGCGATATTACAAAGTAATGCACTTCACAGTAATCAATGAAAGTCATGAAAATTATTTTTTTTCCTATATATATTAAATTTATTTTAGTTTTTTTTTTTATATTTTCGGGAAGAAAAAAAAATAAAAAATGAAGGGATATAAATCCTTATACTAATATAAACGTTATTTTGTTATGTGTACATATATTATATTCATATGTATATATAGGTGTATATATATTATATATAAAAATTCAATTTATTGCTTCTATATTAAGCACACATAGTGTCTACATATATACATTTATTTATTTTGTTATTTTATGTATATATGATTTAATACAGTAAATTACATATAGAAGTATATGAATATATTATTATTATACGTTGTGTACATGTATGTATATATTTAGAATTAAAAAAAAAAACAAAAAAAAAAAAAAAAAGAAGTAAAATATAAAAATAAAAATTATATAAAAATATAAAATATAATTACCGTTTTTCTGTTATGTATATAAAAAAATTGTTTTTTTTTTTTTGTTTTATTATTATCCTCACATAAGGATATAACGACAGGATATGTGAAAAATTATATATATATATATGTTCAGATATTTTTATATGTATATAATATTAAATAAATTTTGTATTAGTTTGTATTTTTTATGGGTATTTTTTTTTTAATTAAAGGGAATTAAAGTCGCTATTGTTTGTTATTTTATAGCTTTGAAATATTACTTATATATACACATATCTATATTTATACATACATATATACACTTATATATATACTTTACTGTATGTAATGATATTACATTGCAAAAATTACATATAGTTGTTAATTTTTTTTTCCTTGTTTTCTTTTATTATTATTATTATTATTTTTACTTTTTATCCTGGTGTAATGCTTATAATATATACACACGCCCAAGGCAAATACTATGGAATATATATACAAAAAAAAAAAAAAACTTTTTTTTTATTATTTGTTGTTTTTATGGAAAAAAAAAAGTTTTTTTTTTTGTTTTGTTCTCTCTCTCTCTTATTCATTCGTTTACTTAAATTCTTTCTCTCTCTCTTTCTAATGTAATTACTGTGAAAAAAAATAATAAAACAAAATTTCGTTATATGTGATAAAACAAAATTAAATGTAATAAGTGTAAATGGTCCTACGTACGGGTTCTGAAGTTTTTTATTTTAAAATTTTTCCTATTAAAATTCACTCTTTTTTTAACTGTGCAGTAACAGAGAAGAAAATACTATATATATATATAAACATATTATATATTTCGCGTCTATAAATAATAATTTTGTTTTAAGAAAAAAAAAAATAATTAATTTTTTAAAAAATATTAAAAAGGGAAAAAATTAAACTATTAAAATTCTGAAAATAAATTTTTAATAATTACATAACCAAAAAAAAAAAATTTAATTCTCATAAAAAACAAAAACAGAAAAGTAATTAAAAGTAATTTTTCATATATAAAATTTAAAAAGTAATAAATTTGCAAAAAAATAAAAAATAAAAAATAAAAATTCAAAACGAATAAAAAATGATACGAATAATTACGACGGTAACACTAATTTTAACTTATTTAACAACTTTATTTTAAAATTTCCTTTCTTTTAATTTTTTTTAAATGGTAGTTAACTGTTATGTTTATGTACATTGAGAAAAATATTCGTTAAAATATTTTGAATACTTTTTTGATATAACTGAAATAATTCTAATGAGAGATATGGAAGAAAGATGATTACACGGATAACAATCAGATTATTTCCTATATAAATGCGATAATTACAATTTTATATACAAAAAATTTGTATTACAAAAAAAAAAGTTAAAATTTTAATTCCTTAAAGTGTATTTATTTCAAAAATGGTTATATATGAATAAAAAAATGAAAATGTTTGACATTTTCCTCAATTTATACTTTTTCTATAACAAATTTTTTCCTTAAATTTTCTATGTGTATAACAGTTTTTTTTTGCTTCTATGTTCTTTTCATACATTAAGACAAATTTATCTGCAGTATAATATTTTTATATAATAACATTTGTATTTGTACTCGTATGTATGTATGTATATTTATACTACTATATTCATTTTACAAGACAGAACAAAAAAAATTAGTATACCTGTATATTAATCAAATAATTTAACTGAAAAAATGATAATTTGCATATTTACAGGCATTTTGAATAAAATAAAAGTAAAAGAAAATAAAATATAAAAAAAAAACAAATCGGTAACACTATATAAATCTATAATAATAATAATAATAATAATTTTTCTGAATATACACACATACACATATTTCATATAATATTTCTTATTTGTATAAAATATACAAGTGTATATACAAAATTATATGTAAAAAAAAATTATGTTGTATAGCTAGCTATCATTTATGTATGTTTAAAAGCGCATGCTTTTTATTTTCAAAAATTCTTTTGAAATGAAAAAAAAAAATTAACTTTCACACATATTTTGGTGACAAGTCTAAAATGTCAAAAGTTAATCGAAATTTTCATGTACTATTTGAAAGAAATTGTTTTATAATATATACATACATAAATACATATATACATATATGTATACATAAACAAATTTATAGAAATATTTGACAGATTAATATTAATTTGTTATATTGATAAATGAAAACTGAAAATATTTAAATTGACAATTATAATATCAAAGACTATATTTTGTAAACAACAATAAATTGATAAAAATAGATTTTGAAGTATAATCGAATATACTTTATCATATTTGACAAGTTTATAATATTCAAACATTTTTTGTTTTTTTTTTTTTTTGAGTATTGAAAAGCCTGGTTCATTATTTAATTTTCTTAATAATATTCAATTAATAATTTGATTTTTCGCGGGAAATTTTATGAGATGTCTTTTTCAAAAATTATGTTCAAGATTATTTCTAGCTTCATAATAATAATTTTTAATTTAGTAATTAATTTTAACAAAATCATAAAAAACTTCCAATTCTATAAAAATTTCAAAAGAGTTATTTTAAAGGAATTTTTTAAAGGAATAACGAGTTTTTGAGTTTTCTGTGACACAATTGAACTTCTTTGTATTTTTAATAGAATCCTAATTATAAATATATGCGTTATATACAATAGTCTTAAATTTAATAAAAAATTAAGCTATTTAAACATGTTCATTTAATATGAAATATTTTAAAAAATTTTTTAATATAACCATTTTAATTTTCTTTTTAAATTCGACATAAAATTTAATTTTTATTTTAATTATTAAACAAAAATCATTCTTTTAAAATAAAACAAAAAAAAAAAATAACCATAATTAAAAAAAAAAAAACAAAAATATACAAACGTAAAAATTTATTATTAAAGCCAAACCAGACTACGACTTCGACTACCACAGATGGTGTCATTTTACCAAAAATGAATAAAATTGAATTAGATGATAAAAAACCGCCAACAATATTATTTGCTAATTTTGAAATCGATAAATGGGATCCTAGACGGAAAACCTTTGAGGTAACCAAAATATTAAAATAAAAAAAAAAATAAGAAAAAAAAACAAGAAAAAAAATGAAATTATCTATATTTTTACTAATTTCTTAATTTTAAACTGCTTCAAAAAAAAAATAGAATTTAATTTTCATAATTATTTTATTACTATTTTGCTTTTTAAATCTATGGAAGGTATTCAAAAGAAGCACATTTCCATTACATACAAAAATGATTACATAAAGAGAAAACAAACTTCCTGATTCTTCTTCAGTAAAAGTACTACAACTTAATTCCCAACTCATCTTAAAAATTGAAAAAAGCATTAAGTTGTAATATTTTAACTGAAGAAGGAAAACGAATTTTGCCTTCTATTTGCGAACTAATATCATTTTTGCACAAAATGGGCTTATACTCATTTGAACGGCTTCTACAGAAATTTTTTGTTTAATTTATTAACAATTTTTATTTGTCTGCTATTTATCGGTTTCACTGTGTTCCAAAAACTGCCTTTTATATATTTTTTTTGCACTTAATGAAAATTTGTTAACAAAAATTATACTTATAATTTTTGAAATATTTAAGAACATAGAAATATAAAAACAACAGCAAATATTATAATATTTGCATTATTGCCACTTTTATATATAAAACAATTTTATTTTATTGAAAAAGTACGACATTTTTTAAGAAAAGTTCCGTTTAAGTTGGAAGTTAATTAACAACTCATATTTGAAATATTTTTATAGGTTATATTAAAATATATATATGCATATGGGTTGCGGGAAAATTATAAAATCCAATTTATATCAAATAAATTATTTATAGATATAGAATTTTGTTTTCAATATAGGTTTATGTATGATCAAACTACGCGAAAATCCAAATAAACTAAATATGGCTGCATTTTTTTGTAATATGAAAATATTCTTTTAGAAAAAACTTTATATATATTTATAAATAAAAATTATATAATGGTAATTTTACTTATTTTTAGCTTATTAAAAAAAAACAATCACAGTAATTACAATTTAGACTAATATAATTTTTAAGATTTTGCGTTGGTATATTAGAAATTGACAAAAAAAAAATTGTATACATTCAAATTTAAAATAATTTTGTTAATTTTATAATACTATAATTATATATTCTGCACACTTACAATAAATCTATAATTATATTATGTACATATGAAAAAAAAATCTAAAAAAATTAATAATTAAAATTAAAAAAATCGCATATATTTCATTTTTAATTTTCTTTTTTTTTTTTATTAAAGGCCCAGCCATCCAGTACACCATTATCAACTGTTTCGGATGGACCAAAACCCGATATATCAAATGTTCAGACAAATGGCTTACCCATATCAATTACGACAACATCAACAACATCTACTAGTCAATCTAGAAGTAAGCCACAAGCATGTAAAATTTGCGGAAAAATGCTATCATCAGCTAGTAGCTATTATGTTCATATGAAATTACATTCAGGGACGAAGCCATTTCAATGCACGGTAAATACTTTATTTTTAATTTTGTAGAATGAAAGAAGAAAATAATGTTTCTTATTTTTGTTTTAATTAAGTACATAATATACTCAACATCTTTCAAATATCGTCTAAAATTTATAAAAATATCAAAAACCAAATAATTGAAATAATTTTGCATATATTAACTCATTTTTTCGGAAAAATAGTCAGAAATTTCGGAATTACTTATATTATATATAAAAAGAATTTAATATTGATTTTAAAGGAATTAAATATAATAAATTAATATTGAATTTTCAAAATATTAAATATAATTATTTTATAAATTAAATATAAAAAAACAATTTTAAAAACAGTGTATTATACTTTATAAAAATTTCATTTATACTTTTTTGTAGGCTTGTGATGCTGCATTTTGTCGTAAACCATATCTAGAAGTACATATGAGAACGCATACTGGTGAAAGACCATTTCAATGCGATCTCTGCCTAAAAAGATTTTCTCAAAAATCATCTTTAAATACTCATAAAAGAATTCATACAGGTATGTTAAAAATATCAAATACATAAAATCAATTTAATTATTTTAAATATAATTATATATATATAATTATATTTATATATAGTTGATTATATAAAAAAAATATAAAATGAAATTTAAAAATAATTATTTTTTTTTTTAACATAACAAACATTTTATCGAAATTAAAATATTTTGTTTTACTTTTCAAAATTTTTTTATATTATTATTATTATATAATAAATATATACAATTTCTGTTTAATTTTTATTATTTTTGTGATATAATTTATTTAATTTTACTTAAAATCAATTCTGCAATTTGATTTTATTCATTTTATAAATATTTTTCAATAGTTGTAATTACTATTTTCTTTTTTTTTTGTTATAATAATTTCTTTAATTAAAAATCATGTCCAATTAGAAGCATTTATATCATTAATTATTGTTATAATTTTGTAATACATACGTATATGTGTACTTTTTTATATATAAAAAAAAAAAAAAAAGAAATTCGCTAAAAATATTAATGAAAATTTGACGATTTTATTAAATTAATCAAAGAAAATTATCGAATTATTGTAATATCAATAAGATAAAAAATTCAAAATAAAAAAGTAATAATTAGTAACATCAAAAATGTCACTCAATAATATAAGTAATAATTAGTAATAGATGTCACTCAATAATATAAATTGTCAAAGTTTTATAATTATTAAAATGACATTTTAATTGTTCATATTCGAATTTACGAAAACAAGAGCATAAAATAAAAGTTTTTGTAAAGAAATTATTAATTTAAAATTAAACATATTTAATGGAAATAAGTTTTTCCATTAATGTGTTGGTATACTGTCTTAAATAAATAAAAGGAAAACATTAATACATAAAATGTATATTATTTTTGAGCGACATCTGTTTACTATTACTAATTTAATTACAAATTTATATTTTTAATTTTTGTTTTCAAAAATTGCTTTATTTTAAATATTAATATGTTCAGATATTTTCTTTGAAGAGATTTAATAAAATGGTTACATTAATTGAAATAAATCCAAATAGATCAAATATACTTTTATATATTATTTCATTAAAACTAACTTTTTTTTTTATTTCAATCAATCCAAAAATAAAAAATGGCATTAAATTATAAAAAAAAAAATTGCAAAATTTCATAAAAAGTCATAAAAATTAAAGCTTCATAAAACGGTTTTACATATATATAATATTTTTAAAAATTGAATTGGAAAAAAAAAGAAACAAAAAAATATGCAGGTCTGGAGTGTTTCGCATAATATTATAGGGAAAAAATATTATATAAGATTAAAAAGTTAACAGATTTTATTAGTACATATTAAAATTTCAAAATTCTTGCAAATATTTATAAAATGTATACACTCCAATCCTGATTTTCCCTATTCAATTAAATTTTTATTATTAAAATAGGTATGTGTAAATCATAATCCGGAAAATACGAAAAATATTTAAAATAGCTTTTCTATATATTTTATTGAATACTTAACTTGAATACTTCATTTACCTATAAACTTAAGTTCTACATTTCTCAATATTCTTTATATCAATTACATTATGAATAAAAATTTAAGAAATTACTATATGTATATATATACTCGTATATATATATATATATATATATATATGTATATATTTTTTTGTTAATTGTGAAAATATTTATGAATAAGTTGAAGTCGCTTAAAAAAATATTTATTGAATGTAATATTGGTACTTTCTAAAAAAAAAAATATTTTAAAATAATTCTTTCTTCAATTCAGAAAAATTACCTTTTATTGGTGCTCACATGATTCTTACTTGATTCGAATCTCTTCTTTTCCCCGAATTGATGCAAATTTTCTTTTGAAAAAATATTTAAAAAAGTTAAGTGACTGACTGTAATTTTTGACTGGCATACTGGGCTACTTTAATATCAACAAAATTAGAAGTTTAAATATTAGAATTAATTAAATTCATTTTAATTATAAGAAATAAATTAAACTTTGCACAATAGAAATCAAACTTATGTTTAGACTGACAAAAGAAGTTATAGAAAAATTTAATTTGTAAAAATTCTTCTCCAGAACTGCGTTTGAAGCTACTTAATTGAACAAATTTTTATTTAATTAATTTCCAATCAAAAATTTTACAAATTTGTTGAGAAAGAAAGAGAAAACAAAAAGTAACACAAAAAAAAAAACACTTTTAAGAGCTTTGTATTTCCCGGCTTATGCTACACTCTATTTACCTTTTCTCATGTTTTCGCATATTCTAATATTTCTCATAATTTTGTTTTTCCCATATTTTCATTTTAAGTTTTACTTCAATTCAAAAATTAAAAAAAAAAACATCTGGTGTCATACATTTTTATCGTTTTTTCTTTCTTTTCAATAATTAAAACTTAAATAAAATGAATAAAATAATTTATTAAAATTAATAAAAAAAAAAATTGTTATATTGATATTGTAATTTGATTTGAAAAAAAGAAAAAACAAACTTACTTATTTTAAAAATAAACAAAAAAATAGAAACAAAACCAAAAATTTCCATTATTCAAATTCAAATAAAAATTTATCAGGAGAACGTCCGTTCCAGTGCGGCGTCTGTTTGAAGACATTCACACAGAAGTGCGCCTTAACATTGCATTCACGAATTCATACGGGTTCGTTTAGAAATTTTAATTAAAAAAAAAAATCTTTTTTTTTTTAAGAAAATTTTTTTCCTAATTTTTTTTTTTTTTTGTTAAATCTTTTTTAATTAATTTAAAGAAGAGTTTCATAAATATTTAAATAAATTTTTTTTGAATTTCTTTATTAATATTAATTCCTTTAATTGTTTTCACATAGTTTTTTTTCTATTAAAATTTTTACAATATTCCTTAAAATTTTCAAATTATTTTAATTTTTTTGTAGTAAAAATTTCATATAGTTAAAAAATTTTCAAAATATTTTTAAACTATTAAAATTCTTTTATATATGTATATATATATAAAAATGGCACTTATTTGAAATACGTATATAAATAAGTTGTATGACACTTATAAGAACTATTTGAATAACGTTCAATAAAAAAGTTTGAACATTAAATTTATTTCGTTAAAACACATACATACATAGATCAAAATTTAATAAAATTTTAAGATGAAGAATAAAAATGAGAATACGTTTTAATTATCAAAATATTATCAAATATAAATTAAAAAATACAATTGAAGTTATGTTGAAAAATATTGCCTAAAAATATTGAATAGACATAACCTTAAAATTTATTTAATTTTTTTTTTCAAATGAATCAATTACCTTTTTTTTTGGAAAATATTAAAACAATAAATTTCATTTAAAAATCTTTTCTTGGTTTACCGTTTAAAAAGCTACAATTTTGGCAACTATATGAAATTCTACAAAATCAGCTATTTACAAATTATTACATGTTTCGCTTGCTAAAATTTTCTTTTCCTCAAATATATTATAACATACAGAATAATAATAAAATATAGAAAAGTTTTTATCAAAAGATAAAATAAGAGAATGAAATGAAGATAAATTATTAGCATATACATATGTATACAAATATTAATTCAGAATTTGATTAATCGAACTTCTTTAATTAATATTTTAAAAGTTAAAATATTAATTTGTCGAACTATTACAAAAATTCTTATTTAAGGTATAGAATAAATTTTTAGTGTATAACTGTTTTTTTTAATATACCATTATTAAAAAAACAAATAAAGATTTCTTATAATGTTTAACATTCATGAAAATATTAAATTCTTTTTTAAAAACTAATAAAATTTTATAAAATAATAAATATTTTATTACATTACTGTATGTTTTTTTATATAAATATATTTTTAATATAAAACGTATAAATTTTTCTTTTCAAACATTTATAATTGAAAGTAATTAACAAAGACCAAAAAAAGAAAAAATTTAAATGTTTGTTATATTTTTTTGTTAAATTTTTTTTCCATATCAATTCACAATTACAAACTAATTATAAATCTTTAAAATTTTTTAATAAAGGCATATAAAAACATATATCATTTAAATAGAAATTGAGAATAGAAACTGTAAATGAAAGAAAATTAAAAAAAAAGTAATTTTCAAACGAAATATATGCATAGTTAATAATAATTTTTTTTAATTATTAAATCATAAATAAATTCCAATAAAAAATCGCTTAAAAATTCACAAAGCAAATTACAAATTATTCGAACACTTATGCTTATTTCTGATTATTTAAAAAAAATTATTTAATTTAAAATATTTTAAAGCTTTGAGGCTTAAATGAATACATAGATAAAACTTATAAAATAATTTTAGTTTATTTCAAGAATTTTTAGTTCGTGTATTTTGAGTTGAAATAATAATTTGACTCAAAAATTGTTTACACATTATGTATATAGCAGAGAGGCTCTTATGTTTCGAAAATTTGACAAATACAGTCTTATTTTTCTATTATTTTCTTTAAATTGAAAATTGCATTAATACGATATTTTTTACACAATCTAGTTTACAAGTTATACCTAAATACTGATTTGTTTAGCATATTAAGACCTACAATTATTATAGAAGTCACGAGTTGTTGATTAAATTGTGTGATTACTTATTCTAATATGTAAAAGTCTTATTTTCTCTTTTACATATTTTAGAAAAGAATGATTTTTTTTTCAGAAATGAACGAGTTAACATAATTTAAACAATCAATTGAATTTTTTTTTTTGAATGGATTACAAATATATGCCTTTTAGGAATTTAAAAACAAATTTTTTTTATATATATCTAAGGATTTTAAATTTTTAATATTTAAAAACTTTATTTTGAAATTTTGATAAAAATAATAAATTTTCTTAAATGCAATATTGTTCTGCATCTTTTTTTAAATATTTAATTTAATTATTTTTTTTATTCATTCTTATATTTATAAAAAATATTTCTGATATTTACTAATAAAATTGTATGATTTTATGAAATGTTAATATTCTTAAATAAACAACAATATTCTTTCTAAATAAAATCTACATACAGACATTTACACAAGCTATATAAATTAAATAAAAAGCTAAACGAACACACAAACAACATAGTTTTGTAATTTTTTCGTTTATTCTTTAAATTTATTTATTTTTATTAATGCAAAAATGTTTCTACAATTTAAAAACAAAATTTAATATTTTTTTAAAATATCCATAACATAAATTATTTTAATTTTGGTTCAAGTTTTAAACAGTGGTCCATTTAATTATATACTTCATTATTATGTACAAAATATATATACATATATAAATATATATATATATATATATATATATATATATTACTTCACTTTGCATGAAAAGCTTTATATATGTAAATTTATTTTATATTATGTAAAAATTTAAATTTTGTGTAATGTTTAAATATTACAAACATGAAATGTAAATATTATAATATTCAACGTATTACTTTTTATAAATATATATAAAAAATATAAATCTATATACATACATTTTTATATTCATAATAATCGTAATAATATAACATAATATTCGCAGAAATATTTTTTTTTATAAAAATTCCCTTTTTTAATTAATTATATTTTAGTAGAAAAAAAAATATTATCTAAAATAATTAAAATAATAATTTTGTATTTTAATACAAGATCATTTAAATTCCGTGGACGTAATATAATTTATTATAGATATCATAAAGCTACATATATGTATTGATAATTGTATACGGTCAAACCATATTTCAAATAAACGCACTGATTATACGTACATACATACATTATATGTTTTATTAAATAACTTCGATGATTGTCTCAATTTTCAATATTTAATATCAAAGTATTTTACATAGAAAATCTTAATTTATAAAGTTCTATAATTATATGATGACTACATTGTGACTTGGTTATATGCCCCTTAATAGAAAATTAGCTCTTTAATTAGATTCTCATGTACTAGTATGAGTTAATTATTTTCTTTTTTAATCAAAAATTTTTGATATTGTACATATACATATATTCTGCTAAAACAAAAATTTTAATCAGAAAAGAATTGTTTAAATTCATGCATATTTTTATATACAATCGCGATTTTTGATCAAAAAGTGAAGTTCTATCCGATTATGTACATAATTTTTATATATATAAATATTTTATGATTTACAAATATTGTTTTTACAAAATAAGTACCTATTTCCTATTATTTTGTCTACATAAATGTTTTGATATTAATGTTAATAGATTTTATTTATTTTAATAATAATTGAATACACTTTTAACTTTAAATATACACGAAAAGTGAAATCAAAAAATAACAAGACAATTTTAACAAAAAAAATTACGAGATTGCCCCCATTCTTACAAATCAATTAAAAAAAAACATAAGAACAAAAATAAAAACACATTTTTATTTCCGTTTTCCCTTTTTAACTTTTGTTTTGGTTTGAGAGTTCATTTAAATGTGTTTTTGAATTTCAATTTTTTATTTCATAAAAAATTTTCTGATTAAAAATGTTTTAAATTCACTTTTTAATAGAAAAATTTTTTAAAGCAACAAAGAAAAAAAAAATTACAATAAAATTGAATTTCTTTTTGTTAATTTTCTTTTTTCTCTTTTTTTTTTCCTTTTTTGTTTTTTTTTTTTTTTTGGTTTCGTTTTTAAAATCTAACCGACCGCTGTTTATTACTTGTTCCAGGTTATTGGAGCATGCATAAACCGTTCCAGTGTACTCAATGCAGTGCTGCATTCTGCAGAAAACCTTATTTAGAAATTCATATGAGGACACATACGGGAGAACGTCCGTTCCAGTGTGAAACATGCCTTAAAAGATTTACCCAAAAATCTACACTAAATATTCACAAACGGACGCATTCTGGTCAGTTTCTTAATTTTATAATTTTTTTTTGTTTGTTTTTTATTAATTTTTTTATTTTTAATTTCTATTTTTGTTTTAATTATTAAAAATCTTCTCGTTTCTATTTTTTTTTTGTTGTTTTTGTATGTTCTTCTCTTTACACATACTGTAAATATAAACTGCATCGTCTTAAAAATAAGTTAAAAATTATTAGAAATTTATTAATTTTTTTTTTTTGCGAACAACAAAATTCAAAAATAAGCACAAATTTACCTTTTCCATTGAGTGTTATTGGATATAAAATAAATAGGTTGCCACTCGACGATTAATAATTTTATCTAAAACTTATAGTAATTCCCATTTTATTCCCTAATGTAACATTTACACTCATGTTTAATGTGGTATATTGTAGTTTTTTTTTCTTTGTCCATTTCAATAACTATAATCACAAGAAAAGAATTCGCGCACCGTAAAAATATTTTTAATATTTCATAACAATGCAGTTTTACAAATTTTCCAACTATCAAATTGTTGCACTAAATAAATTTTTAATATTTGAAAAAAAAATATTGTTCTCTTAATTTCGAAATTCAAATATTAAAACAAGACTTGTTGTGTCAAAGAAACAAGACTAATTGACATATCATGTAACATTAATATTAATTTTTTTTCCTTTGGTGAATTTCTTAATGGTAAATAAAATAAATGACTTAAGAATGACGCGTTTGATTTTGGACGCGTCTTTTCTCTTTTATGATATGGGAACGCCATCTAATTTTAAATTTAGTCAACAGCGATATGTAAAATTTATCGTTAGGGCCAATTTTATTATAATCTTATTTAATACAAATGTGTAATACATTTGTTATATGTATGTATATTGTTATAGTAAATATGAGTAATTATATTCTAAAATCTTCCATTTTATATTATGTTTACCAATTTTTTTACAGTAGTTCTCAATCTGTAGAACTTAATTTTATTTTTATATTCATTTATTTATCAATAACTTTTTTCGTGCATGTAAAAACAACCTCACAAAAGCACCGAAAGTAAAATTGGTCATATTTTCTTAACAATATTTTTAAATTATTTACAATATTAATAAAATTTAATTAGATATTAAATTATATAAGTCATTATACCAATAAGCTAATCTTTTCTTAAAATTTTTTGAATTTAAATTCATATATACTAGCTTTTTGGGTGAATTTTATATTTTCCGATTTCCAAAAAAATCAGATTTCGAAAACAGTTGTTTGCCGCTATACATACATGAGACATATTGTTTTATATATTAATCACAGATCAAGTAAATTTCATTCTATTTAAATATAGAATATTGAATGGTATTTTAATTGAAATTAAAAAGTTCCATCATTAATTTCTAAAGAAAAAATTACTAACTCCTTGTAATTCTGATTTTTTTTTTGTAATCCTTCAAAAAAAATTACATAATGTTATCTTAGAAAATTTTTTAGAAAAACAAAAATGATACAAGATGAAATATAAAATAAAAATTTAAACACAGAAAAAAAAAAGATAATAATTTCAATATAAACTGACCGCAAATATATTTATATATATATTAATTGTTCCAGGTTATTGGAGCATGCACAAACCGTTCCAGTGTACTCAATGCAATTCTGCATTCAGCAAAAAACCTTATCTTGAAATCCATATGAGGACTCATACGGGAGAACGTCCGTTCCAGTGTGAAACATGCCTTAAAAGATTCACCCAAAAATCTACATTGAATATTCATAAACGGACGCATTCTGGTCAGTTTTTCCTTACAAAATAAAAATATAAATAAATGAAAAAAAAATTAATTAAATTATTAAATATTACTTAAAAAAAAATAATTTTTTTCTAATAATATTCTTATATACAAATAAAAATAATTATAATTATTTTTTTTCTTATAAAAAAAACCATCATATTGCATATATATCTCATATATCATTATTAATAGTTTTAAGAAAACTTAATATATATATATATATATATATACATAAAAAGATTTGCATAAAGAATATCTTTATATACTGATTTCAACGCGTATATCTATGAAAAGAGTCTCCACGTTTAATTAAAATTCAATATGGTTAAAATCTTTTTAAACAGCAGTTTGAAATTTTCTAAATTATATAAAAAACTATACAAGGTTTGTGATAATCTTAAAATTGGCATCTATATACAGAATTTTACTTCGAAACATATATAAAATACAAAAAAAAATGTTAAATAAACTGAAAACAAAATGTGTATGTAATGTTCTCACCATTGACGTCATGCGATCCGGAAAATAATTTTATTTTTAATATAAAATAAGAAACTTCTTTTTGTACTGGCATTAATTATATAGGAAAGCAATATTTTAATTACCATTTTAAATATTTGATTGTATAAATTGTACGATATACTTAATGTATACGACATACTTAATGTATACGATGTAATGTATACTTAATGTACATATAGCTACTTAGATAAAAATTACAATTATGTAAAAAATCAATATTCATATAAAATATAGTTGAACTTATGGTTATGACTTTTTAATACCGCATATTAATAAAAATGTAAAACCTGTATGTTACATAAAGACACTGTTATTTTATAAATTTGATTTTAGATCAGGATTATAGGAAAATTTAAATAATTAAAGTATTTATTTCAAAAAAGGATATAGGTTTAGTTTTTTTTTTTTGGAAAACACAATGTATTTATAAAATTTACTTTTTGTAAATACAAAGTTTACACTATTTTGTTCTCTCCTCTATATGTAAAAAAAAATATTATAAATTCTTTGATAATTTGATAATTTATTTTTTTTTTGCAATTTTCTATTTAATTAATAAACATATTATTCATAATAAACAATTAAATATATAAATACACATATACATACCTATTATATAATATATAAACAGACAAATACACTTAATTGAACGGCAGTAAAAACACAAATTTTCATTCTAATTTACAAACCAAATTTAATTGTAAATATTCTCTGTTATATTCTCTTATTTACTTTTCTATATAAAACTATTTTTTATTATATAACTGTATATTTGTAATATACTTTTATTTACTAATTTTTTTTTCATATATTTTGTATAAGTATACAAATTGCTATAAGTATTTTTCTATATTATACAAAAATTTTTTTTTATATACCTACATTATTTTTACAAAAAAAAAAAAAAAAGTTTTTAAAACAAAAAAGCAAAAAACTCTTTATATTGGACTTGATTTTAAAAATGCACAAATTTAAGTGTTGATTTTTATTAAACGTTTTTTAAACACAATTAATTAATTAAATTATTTTATACACATTAATACATACATGCATATATTATATATATTATATTAAATTATGATAAATATATTATATTAAACAATTACTTTTACATAAAATTATATACATATTATATAATTATATACATTCCAAAAGTATAAAATTCTAACTGTACAACACTTCTATGTATTATACCTGTAAAGGTATAATTACCTTTATGTTAAAGTTTAATGAAGTAGTTACGTACATTTATTCTGGAAGAGGCCTTTATTTAAATTTTTATTTTATAGAAATGTACATACGTACATATATAATGATAATATATAAAACCGCAAGTGGGGTTGATGCCTAAATTTCATAGGATAGTTTTTACTCTCATAAAAAAAGATTTTTAACACCAAATGGCATTACAAAATACTTTAAATTATTTCGAACTTATTATAGGAGTGTCCTTACATTCCTCAAAAAAAAACGCACTCATTAATATATTTTTTTTTTTTATAAATAAATTACCATATCTTTTATATTAAAGAAAAATAACATGAAAATTTAAGGTTAATGTTGACACGATCATTTTAACAAGTGAAAAACATTGATTTGTCAAATAATTAATGAAACATTGAAAAAAACAATGTCAATTGTTAATTTTTTAATGTTATCAGGGTTTAATACAAATATTTGAAGATTTTTATTATATACAAAAAAATATTCGTAGTCCCAAGTAATTGTTAAATTGTATGGTCTGAAATTATTACACATATTTCAAAAACTATTCAAAAATCATTATTGAACCCGTTTCCATAAATATTTGAAAATATTTAAATACGAATGAATAAGTAATTTTCTTATCAATTAAAATTCATATAATTTGAAAAATCTTAAAATAAGTTTTTATAAATCTTAAGCATGAAAATCTTTTTAGAGTTTTTTAATCTGTTAATAAAAAAATTTTATTTATTTACGATTGTCAAAAAGCAAAATTCCACAAAAAAAATTAAAATCCCTGCTATATTTTACCATTATGGTAAAATGAATGTCAATCGAAATACAAAATTTAACGTCAACTTGACATATTCAATAATACTGAATAAATCAAATTGACATTAAATCTAGATTTAGGAATTCGAATCTTATATGTACTTCACTAAACTAATATCACAAAAATATACAATTCTTTTTATTTTTTTTTACTTTAGTTAACTTAAAATTCGACTATTCTACATATATACATTAAAAATATTATATTGTAATTGGGTATTTTTAAAGGAAAAAAAAATTCATTTAATTTTCAAAATTTTCTATATACATAACGACAAAACAAAATATACTTAATAATTTAAGTTTTTTTATACTTATTTTTAATATTTTTTTTTTATGATTTTCTTTTTTCTTTCTTGGTAATTTATTTCCTGTTATTGTTGTTGTTATTATTATTGAATTCAGTTCAAGATCGACCATTTCATTGTGAACAATGCCCTGCCGCGTTTGCTAGGAAACCTTATCTCGATATACATATGCGAACTCATACAGGTGATAAAATCTATAAAATTTATATAAAACATAAAAAAAAAATGACAAATTGAAAAAAATATTTTTACAAAAAAAAAAAAATTTAAACCAAATTAAAAATTTACAAGAAATTTATAAGTTTTTACAATATAAATAATAAAACAAGAAACAAATCAAAAATATACAAAAATTTATGCAGGTGAAAGACCGTTTGCTTGTGATATATGTGGAAAACGTTTTACACAAAAATCTTCACTAAATATTCACAAAACTGTGCATACTGGTAAGATAGATTTTCAAAAAACAAAAAAAAAAAAAACAGAATTCATTTTAATTTGCTTTTCATTTTATAAACGAAACTTTTGATTATAATCAAAATCGATCGAAACTAAAAAAAAAAAAATAAAAAACTTCTATATTATTGTATTTTATTCATTAATTTAATTTTTATTATTTAAAATTACAAAATTTTTGTGAAATCAAAATTATTTTAATTCGGCCCAACACTTTTAATATTGTTGAATATAAATAAATTTATTATTAGAATAAATTATAATTGAATACAATTAAATTAGAAAATATTTGATTAAGCTCAGAAAATTGAATTTATTTAGATTGTCTGGATATACATATGACATTAAGGTAGAAAACAAGAAACCAATATTTAATATTATATATGTATGTATAAAAATATTACAATGCAAGAAAACACTGCGTCGCTAATAATATAGTAGTGCAACTGTAAATATAAAATATGTAAAAATGTTAAAAAGCACCATTGCAATAAAAAAAAAAATTTGGACTAATCTTACCAGTCTTTAAGAAACGGGGGTTTTTTTTTTCATATTTTTATAATTTAATATGAGGTCTCGGAATAATTAAAAATGTTAAATTCGGTGATGATATATGTTATAATTTCTTAATTTTTTTTTCCTAATTTTAAAACTGTTATATACATACTTCGTTAGTGTTGAAAATAAATTTTTTTTTTCAATATGACGATAACCAATTCGATTTACTTTTAAAATATTATATTGTGTTTTGTAAAATATTTTAATTTCTCGATAAAATATGTAAAATCAAATTTATGAAGTTTTTAGTTTGAAATTTTTCACGTTATTTGTACTAAAAAACTGCCGTATTTTCTATTTAAATTAATATTGTTCTTATTATTTTAGTCACTTATTTATTTGCTATAAAATCAAGGAATGATTTTATTAATTTCTCAGCTACTCAAATCCAATTGATTGAAAAAGAATTTATTAAATTCCTTATAAGGTTTTTATATGTTTATGTTTTAATTTATTTAAATAGAAATATTAAAATCAAAATCGAATAACCAAACCCTTTTTGAATGTTTTTATAATTTTATGTTAAAGAACAATTTTTTTTTATAATGTATCTTTTTTTTTTTTGTAATGTCAAATGAATGTCAATTGAAATCCTATGCATTCTGATGTTTATTTATTTGTCAATATGTCATAATATGAATTGTATTGTTATACTATACGACAACACTTTTTTTTTGTTAATTCTGGAAAAAACTCAATTTTTTTAAATAATTCTAACTATTGTAAATATTTTTTAAAATAATTCCGTCTTATATCAATATGAACATTAAATAGAACATAAGAAAAATATATATATATCACATACTTTTCTGAGTAAAATTAAATATTTTATTTCAAAATTTCTTTTATATTTTTTATTTAAATTTTTATTATTTTTACTATAATTATAATTTTTTTTGCGTTTTTCTTAAATATTTTCTTTCTTTTGTTTTATATTTATTTTATAATTTTATTTTTTTATTTTTTTTATATAAAAAAAATTCTAAATTGTTTCTTTAATTTATAATTTTGTTCACAAAAACAAAATATTTTTTATAAATTTCAATGAAAAATTAAAAATTTGATTGAAAAACAAAATAAAAAGTTAAATTAAAATTAAATAAAAAAAAAAAAAAACAAAAATTGAAAATTTAAAATACAAAAATAAACTGACATTATTTTTGTTGTCCAAATATTATTTTTGCATATAAACAGTAGGGATACGACCATTTCAATGCACATTATGTCCGGCCGCATTTTGCCGGAAGCCATATCTGGATATTCATCAACGTACACATACAGGCGAGAGGCCATTCGAGTGTGATGTATGTTTAAAACGATTTTCACAGCGATCTACACTAAATATACACAAAAGAATTCATACAGGTCAGTTTAAAAAAAAAAAAAAGAAATTACATACAAAAAAAAAAGGAAATTTTAAGAAAAAATTCATTCGAAAAGCACAATAATTTTTATCATTAAACTTTTACGAATCTTAAAAAAAATTATTAACCTTAACATTTATAATGTATAGTTGATATAATACATTTTTTTTTTCAATCTAAAGTTTTTTTTATGCCATTATATGTAATAGAAGTATTTGCAGTACAGAAATGACAAAATGTCATTATATTCAAACTACAATTAATTTATACTTAATCCTTCACTAATATTAAAATAATATAAATACACTATTTGAAAGCACTTATAATATGCTTTTGATTAATTTTTAATTACTTATATCAAAATTGCAGTAATGTCAAATAAAAGACTGGAAACCTTACCTCAAAATAATGTAGTAATATTGACATGAATTGAATTCCATGTTAATTTTTAAAAAAATCAATTAGACTTTCTAAATTGCCTCAATTTAAAATCCGGATTATTGTAATGTAGAACTGAAAATTAATTTAAATATTCACCATTTATAAGTTGTTTCTTCGTCATCACAATTAGTTTTATTAAATTTCTATATTCATTGATCAATTGCATAAAATATAATCAGTTATTATAAAAAATTATAAAATTTAATTAAAAATCCGGAAAATTTTCTCTCTTTCGTGCTAATATTGAATTTAAGCTAAAATTAAATTATAGCCATGTAGTAGTTCTACCTAATACATATACGTTGTATTTTAATATAAAAATTTAATCTGAATTTTACAATTTTAAAACGAAATTTAATAATATCGACTAGTAAGATAATATTTTTTTAAGATTCTAAAAATGTTTCTTTTGTGTACTTTTGTATAATTAAACGCAAAAACAAAAGGAAAGAAATTTTATTATTTGAAACTTTTCTTAAAAATCTCAAAAAAAAAAAAAAATCGAAATAATGTAAATTTCAAAATCGAATTTATAAAGAATCAGAAATTTTGCAATATTCAAAACAAACATTTTTTTTTATAATCAAATTTCTTGTTAAAACAGATAATGGTTTTTCTTAATTTTGTAGAAAAATTTTGATACTCGTAAAATAAAAAGCAGAAAAATGTTTTCTCATTAAAAGAAATTAAGAAATTGAATGAAATACATACAATAAATAATTATACTAAATGTAAAATATTCTAGTAAATTAAAAAAAAAATTATTTTAAAATTAAAACAGAAATTATTTTTTATAATTTAAATAATAAATAATTTACAATCAACAACACAAAAATTAAAGAAAAAATTTTAGAAATTAAAAAACAAAATTCATATTTAGGTTTTTTTTTTAATTTTTTTTTTTATTTCTTATTATATTTTTAAAAATATCATTGATATAAAAAAAAATAATCTATTAAAAGTATATTTTCAAAAAAAAAAAGTAAAATTATTTAAAATGAAATTCGAAAAATAAAAAAAAAATTACAGATTCATCATGAAAAAATAAAATATAAAAAAAAAAGAAAAAAATCTCCTCTGCCAATTTAATTTTTTGTGTCATTTTTCATTATTTTTCTTTTATTTTTCTTCTCTTTTTTATTCGATCTTCTTTTTATAGGTCTAAGACCTTTTCAGTGTACAACATGCTTAAAAAGTTTCTCACAGAAGTGTGCATTGAATTTGCATATGCTCAGTCATACATCCGGTATTTATATATAAAATAATGCTAAAACAAAACAGTTTCTTTTTTTACTGAATACCTAAAAAAAAAAAATAAATAAATAAATACATATATAATTAACTATAAATTATTAATTACAATAAAAATAATTGCTGATATTAATAGTATATTTTTCAAATTCAATAATAAATTTACGAATTAAATTTGATTTTTATATTTAAAAATTTAAATTAATTTATTATAAATTCTTTCATAATAATATTTACATTCATTATCTCCACATTAATATACTTTTTTTTTTTTTTAATAATAATATGTACACAAAAATCAAATCATTTTTTATTCGAAATTAAAAAAAAAAAAATTTTTTTTTATTCCTTTACATGCTATTCTTTAATTTTCTTTATAACATTTATTTATAAACGGCAACATTTTCTCATATTTTGACATATAATATGTTTTTTTAATATAAAATTTGATTTTATATATATGTATGTATGTACTTTAAATAATCATTTTAATATTTGTTCTTATGTCAATTAAATAAATTTTTTTTTAATATAAAATATTTAAAGGTTTTTATTTAAAAACATAAAAAAAGAATGCATCAATGTTGCCTATTGAAAATAAATTATGGTAAATTTAAAAAAGATAAAACACATTTTTATTGCTGTGAACGACACCTAACGCAAAATTTTAAAAAATAAAACTTTTATTTTGCAGATAAAATAAGTGTTCAATTCTTTAAATTCCAAATTTAAAATTATCATCAGTAATTATTTTTAAGTTAATAAATTAAATTGTTTGAAAATCAAAAATGCAAGATAAGCATTTGAAATTTCGAAACCAAATAAAATTTTTGTTTCCAAATTTAAAAAAAAAAAATATATATAAATGAGGAAAACTTAAGAAAAAAATATATGGAAAATTACAAGAAAAAAAAATTGTAATTAGCAGAGGTTGGATTTTAAATAATTAAATTTTCTCTTAATTAATGCGTATATAATGAAAAATACATAAACCATAAATTCGAATGTGGATATTTTTGGAATCTTGTATTTTTGAAAATTTCATTCAATTATTATAAATTATAAGTATTCATTATTCTCCATTAAAAATAAAGTTTGTAAAAAATTAAAAGGAAAAAAATTCATTAACATTTTTTTTTAAAGACTATTTAAATGCTGAATTATAGGAAATAATTTTATGATAATCAATGGTATATAATAATTAGAGTGAATAAAAGATTAGGTTAGATTTGCATAAAGTATTTGAAATTAAAGTTAAAAATTCTATATGAAAATTTTATGGGTTTCTTTTTAGCATTTATTTAGTCTCAAAGAAATTTTTTAATCATATTTTTTTCAACTCCAAATTATGAACAATAAATTATTGCTTAATATTAGATATGTGTAATACATATATATGTTTAATTATGTATATATACGTATATGAAATAAAGTAAGAGTAAAGTAATTTTCTAAAAATTTTATAACACATAAAATACTATTTAGTTCAATAAAAATAGATTTTGAAATAGATGAAGAGCGGCTTTTGCAATATGATTTTATAAAATGTGTAGGTTCACGACACAATTTTCTATTAAGTAATTTGGAGTTGAAAATTTGACTACCATTGAAATAAAATCATCAAAAATAAATTTTTGATAATAATTGAACATTTTATAATTTTTTTTTTTTGTTTTGTTATTTCTATATTTATATTCGTTTATATTTGTATGAATAACTATGTAACATATATGTACAAAATGTATATATATATGTATATATATATATATATATAAATAGTTCAGGGACGCCCATTCCAGTGTGAACAGTGTCCTGCAGCATTTTATCGGAAAACCTACCTAGATATACATACGCGAATGCATACTGGTGAAAAACCATTTTCTTGTGATGTATGTGGCAAAAGATTTACTCAAAAATCGACATTAAATATACACAAAAGAATTCATACAGGCAGGTCTTTTTTTTTTTTTTCAAAAAAAAAAAATAAAAAAAAAAAACTAGAAATTATTTAAAACAAAAAAAAATTAATTTAAATTAAAAGTTTAAATGAAAATTTAGATAATATTTTTCGATAATACTCACAAACTAGTTTTAAAGAATCCTAAATAAAATTAGTTGATGACACTAAGACTTTTATAATTGTTTGATTATTAAAAAAAAAAATATAAAAAAATATTTTAGAGCACTTAGAATTTTTAATTGCTGTTAAATTTAATTTTTTTTTAATTATATTTCTTTTTGTGTATTTTATTTTCTAAGTACATAACAATTTTTATAAATATAAATTGTGGCGAATGATGTTTTAAATCGAAAAATATTAATTTAAATTAATTTCGTTTTTGATTTAAAATAATTTTTTTCTGTGTAATAGCTATATGTATATATAAAAAATGTTTCTGATTCTTTAAATTTTGTTTAAAATCGCTTTTGATAGAAATTCTATTATTGTTGTTTTTAAATAACCTTTTTAAATATTTTTCTTTTATCTTGTATTTTTTAAAATAGGTGAACGACCGTATGCTTGTGATATTTGCAATAAAACGTTCGCAGTTAAAAGCTATGTTACAGCACATAGGTTTGTATAAACAAGAATAATTCACTTTTATATAAAAAAAAAATTAATTTTGTTTTTTTTTTTTGCAAAAATACATTCCGATTCAATTATTTATTTTCAGATGGTCCCATGTTTCTGAAAAACCTTTAAGTTGTGATCGTTGTTCAATGACATTTACTAGTAAAACACAATTCGCTGTTCATATTCGTACCCATTCAGCTGGTCCAAATTTTGAATGCAATGTTTGTGGAAGAACATTTATAAGAGATTCATATTTGATTAGGTATTTTAATTTTAAATTTATTAAATATTTTAAAAAAAAATATATTAATTAATGTTTTGTTTTAGACATCATAACCGAGTACACCGACAAGAAAGAACAACTGCTAATAGTATACAAACTATAAACGATGTAGCATCTGGGGCTGGTAGCACACCAGAATCTGGTGAAGTTTACGATTCGAATAGCTCGCAAGTTTGCGATTTAAGGTTGGAATATTTACCTTATTCTTTTCTCTCTTTTTCTTTCAACATCTATTCTTTTTTTTTCATTATACGTAAAAGTTTATAAAATATTCTATACTAAATTAGCTTCATCTAAAATATTTATACTTTTCCCCATATTTGTAAAAATTACATTTATTACACCTTTAGATATGTCTCAGATTTAAACAACATTAACTCATCACCAGCCGTTTCACAAATATCATCACCAAGTGAATCAAGAACTATAGCGCTAAGTAACCAGGAAGGATCTCGAACTACAACAACATTAAGTAATTTCAAATTATTGAAAAAAAAAAAATTATATACCTATAAAAATATATGTGTATATGCTTTTTTTATTTAATTCATCTTAAAAATTTGATTTATTTTTTAGCAATAAATGATGCAAATGGTATGAATATTAATGATCGTATAATGCAAGACCGTACAATACATGAACGGCGAGCACTACAAGAACGAATAGCTTTACAAGATCGTGCATTACAAGAACACAGAGCTTTACAAGAAAGAGCCATACAAGAAAGAATTATTAATGGTAAAATAATATTATAATAATCGAAAAAAATAAAAAAAATCGTAAATAAATATTAAAACAAATAAAAATTAAAATAAAAAACACGACGCCAAACAGAAAATAAAACTAAAACAAAAATCGTTTTAGAACGTGGTACTCTCCATGGGAGAGTCCTTCAAGATCGTGTTCTAATACATGAAAGAAATTTACATGCACCAATTACATTACAGCAACAAGGACATGTTAATATAACTATAGCACATGATAAATAATAGATTGGTATAAACTAAAACAGTTATGACTAATCCAGCTCCTGTTAGATCCTATATTTATAATATAAATAAAAATTAAACAAAAATAAAATCAGAATATAAAAAATATAAAAATAAATAAATATAACTTGTAAAATTTACGAAAAAAATTAAAAATATGTAAAAATCAAAATTAAAAGTTAGAAAATTTCTATAAATAAAACATGTAATCAATTTGCAAAAAAAAATAATATAAAATTAAAAACTAATATAGAAAATAATAATAAATATTAAAAGTAGGATATAAGAATTTAAAAGTATTTGTATTTTTAATTTTTTTTTTTAAATAACTTTTATAATAATTTTATTCGTTGTTTATTTTTACGGAATGTAAAATTATGATGAATTATTGTTTAATATTTTAAAACTCAAAATTAGTTTAAAAAAAAAAATAGTCTATATAGAGCAGTAAAATTGTCTTAAGGCTTCGTTTCGTTATTATTAATTCATTTTTAAATAATTTTGTCGAATTTTATTTTAATTATAGAATCGTTTTAATATAACATTCAGAAATATGTAATTTTAATTTTATTTTGGCAGCTTTCAATTGAAAATGTTAAGACTGCTACAATAAAATTTATTGTAAATATTTGTTTGTTATAACATTGTGTTGTAATAATCTAAATTTACATATAAACAAATCAGACAAATATTATATTCTCTGATATTATAATAATTTATTTATATTAAAATATATTATACGATATATTTACATTATAAAATAAAATAATATTCAACATATTATTATTATTTTTATTATTGTGTATTTATTCATAATAAATTTTAATAATTTGCTGCCTTTGCTTCATATAAAAATTCATAAATTATAAAAGACAATATTTTTTGTTTTTTTTTTGTTTTATAAGTAATAATTGCAAAAGATAGTTCTACTGCATATTATAGACATTAATTAATTTTTACTATTATAAATAACATGTAATTTAATTAACATTTTATATTTCGTAAAAAAAAAAAAATCATGTGTACAAAATAAACAATCACTGATTTTGATTTCTATTATCTAGTAATACTCTTCTAAATAATTATGAAAGTATTTCTATATCTTTAATTTTAATATTATTCAATTGAATTAATTTAAAAAAAAAGTAAATAAATAAATAAATTAAAACAAAATTTTAAGTTTTATATAAAACATTAAAAGAAAGTTAGCGTGAACATATTAGAATTATTCTGTTTATAAGATTACAATATAAGATAAGTAAAAAACATAAGTAAAAAATTAAATTTTATACTTCAGAAAGAAAGAAAAAGAAAAAAAAATAAACAAACAACAATGCGTCCTTTAAAATTATAGTTTTAATTCTAAGCTAATAAAAAAAAATAATTGAAAATAAATAATAAATTAATGAAAAAATAAATAAATTGTTTAAATCTTTAAGGAGAAAATCCTATAAATTTAAATTAAAAATGTGCTAATAATAATTTTTTCTTTATTACGATCGTTTTTTTTTTTTATTTTCTTTTAAACGCTTTATCAACAGTTGTTTTAATTTCTCTTCAACAATTTTTTTGTGTATTTTTTTTTTTTATTTAAATTAGTTTGTTAATGTTAATCAGTTTTAAGTAATTAAATATCATAAAATTTAAAAAAAAAAAACATTGGATGTTAATTTAGTTTGGATTATAATATTATTATGTATTACATTTTTTTCCCCGAAAAATTTTTTTTAATTCACATCCTATTTAAGAATAAAATGACTTTCTTTTTAAAGAAATATATTAAATAAATTTAAATTTCTGGAAATTTAGAATAGCATTAATAAATATAAAAGACGAATATTTTACAATATTCTATATTTATATTAAAATTTTATTCTTACTTATATATACCAATGTAAACTAAAATTTTTGTCTTATCTTGCTTTAAAGATAATCTGCTCGTATACGTCTTGTCTTACATTATAACACATGCCACCAACCACTCTTATATTAAAAAAAAATAATTGTTGAATGTTGCTATTCTGTAATTTTCTTTGGAAATAAACTATTTTATTTGTACGCCTTAAAAACAAATTGAAAAATTAATTGTACTAATGAAAATTAAATGAAAAAAAAAAAGTGTTGCCTAAAAATATGCAATATATAAAAGTAAGCTTTAAAATAAAATAAAAAAAAATAATAAATAAATTTATATAATAGCACACTGAAGACATACGTGAATAAAAGAAAAAATACTTAAAAGAGTAAGAATAAAAATAAACTTTTATATGTAAAACAATTAAAGGACTTCCTTTTTTTGCAGTATCTACATATGCATACATATATATATATATAAATATATTATATCTACCTAAATGTATATATACAATACATATTTTTTTTTGTTATCTTTATTTTACTATTATTATTTACATTTAAATTTTTAAGACATTTAATAAATAAAAAAAAAAAGAAGAAAAAAACACGCGCACAATATTTACTTTAAAAGTTTTTCTAAAAATAATATTTTAATTCAAAATAATGATTTAATTTTTAAAAAGTAAAAACAAAAAAAAAACTCCATATTATAATTATTATATTTATCCTTAATATCTTTTATAATCTTTTTGCATTATAAGATTTTATTTCAAATTTCGTTAAAAAAAAAAAAATAGCATGTGATTTTAAGACAGCCATACTAACATTTAAGTTAATAGTTATACGTATAATTATTATTATTATTATAACCATTTATCAAGTTGTTTCAGTATAGTTCTTAATTAAAAATTTTTATATTAAGTTTTTTTTTTTTTTTAAATATTATTATTATTTTTAGTTTTGCTTAAATTTTTAAGTTACTTGTATAATAAACGGGCAAAAAAAAAATTTTTTTTTTCTCAATTTTAATTTATAATTAGTATTTTTTTTTTATATTGCTAAATAATTGAGTTACATAAAATACATACGTAAAAGTTGGTAGAATAATTGCTATTTATTTTAAAAATGAATATTAAAAAATATTAAATATAGAAATTCAAGAAACATTTCAATTATTAAAATTCATAATAATATCATTTTTTTAATTAAATTAATGAAAAAATTTTGTGAGAGCTTTTACTTCAAAATGCAAAATTACAATAAGAAATGAAAAACTAAAATTCAATAATTTTGAAAAAAAAAATTTAAATTACAAAAAAAAAGTTAAAGTAACGTAAGCTCTTTTTTAAAATGAAATATCATCTAATCTTTCCTTAAAGTATCTAGCATTTTCAAAATTTAAAAATTGCAAAAAACAAAATTCAGATACAAGCATAGAATATTTTTCATGTTTTTCCTTTTTGTTTTCTAACATTAAGAAAATATCCTTTTAATAGTAAATTCAAATTTTAATATTATAAAATATTTAAACATTTTAAATAAATAAAATTTAAAGTGCTGCCAATCATTGTCGAAGAAGAAGTGTGTTATTTTTTTTTTGAACGCAATCTCTTCGATCAATGAACATTTTTTATATTCTATATCAAAAATATTCAATTTTTTATTTTATCAAAAAAAAAAAAAACTTAAAAAAAATCTTAGGAAGAAAGCAATAAGAGTAACATCTAAAAAAAAAACACAACACCAAAATTATTAAAATAGTTAAGTACAAAATATTGAAAGTGACCTTATTAATGAAATTATGAAAAGAATATAAAAATCTGAATGATTCTTTTCATAGCAGTCAGAATTTTATAAGGATATCTAAAAAGTTTTTGAAGCACTCCTTTGAATCATTATGAAAAATATTAAATTGATTTTATTTGTTTGCCATGAATTTTTTTTTACGTATATTTTAATGTAAAATTTATTTTAAATTTTCACTAAAATATAAAAAGAATCATGAAACAAAAAATAAATAGTAAGAAAGATAACGCTTTTCTTTCAATATGACATTTTTATTAAGTATATTGTAATTACTTCCGTACTTTTATATATATATATATATATATAAAATGATGATATTTTAGCCCTACATAGTTTAAATACTAAAATTTTGAATGTAATATAAACATTGAATAATTAAATTTAAGCGCAAAAATATATTTTATAGTAGATATTAGAAATTATTTTTAAAATAAAAGCATTATAGTTCCCAAAATGGAACCATAATCTTAAAATACTAAATCTCTATCAACTTAAACTCAATTTTAGCATATTTTTTTGTCCTTTGTTTTTAAGTTAAATACCGATTTTTTTTTTAATTTAATTTAATTATTGCAATACACAAGAATTTCGTTTGTGAATGGGTTACGTTCATTACAAAAAAAAAATATATATATATAATTATAATAATAAAAGAACACATATCTTTTTTGAAAAATTTAAATTGAAAATTAAATTTTATTTCATTTCATAGATTATACTATTTTAATTAAGTATATTAAAATAAAAAGAAAATATACGAAAAATTTTAGAAGGTATTTTCGAAAAAATGATTTTTAATTAAGTAAAACGTTTCAATAAGTCGTCTGGTTAAGAAATCAAATTAAAAATAATGATATTAAAAAAAATTAAAACTTCAACACTTTTTTAAAGTTTAATTGAAATCCAATGTAATTGATTTCATATTCGGACACAGTGTTCCTTTGAAATTATATTAATTTTTATTATTAATAAAGTAATAGAAAGTAGAAAATTTTTAGAAAAACTTAAAAATATAAAGTTAATTAGTAAAATGATATAAAAAGGTATATTAAATTAATTCTCTCCCAAAATATTGAATCAAACTGTAAATCTTAATTTTTCGATATTGCAATACAAACAATGTTTTCGAAAATACCTTGTATTTTGACTGAATTCGTGTTTATTTAAATTTCCGTTTTCACAAATATTGACTTACATACTTTTTTTGTATTTTTTTGTTAAATAACAAGTTTTAATAAAAGGAAATGGAAACTAAATAAAAAAGAAATGAAAAAAAGAAAAAATTTTGAAAGTATACTAAATATTAAAGATGAAGTAAAGATACCACATGATTTAAACACAAAAGTATAACTTAATATTAAACTAATTTTAAATAAAAAAAAAAATTAGGTACTTCCAAAATATAATTTGTATAAATATTATTAACATATTACTAATGTAGCATAGATATAGTATAATAGAACTGTAGTAGATAAACTAAAACAAAAAAAAAAAATAATAATAATAATTAATAAAAAAAAAATAAAATTATATATCAAAAACACCACTGTTAAATTTAAAACTTTACAAAATTATTAATTATATATCTATATATATATGTATACATATATATATAAATATAGAAAATAATAAATAAATATGCATTCTTAAAAAAAAAAATTAAATAACAAAAAGTGCAAATATTAAAATTTAGAAAAAAATAAATAAAAATTTAAAATAATAACGAATAAATCTTAAAAAAATGAAAAAAGAAAATGAAAATTGTTTAAGAAGAAGTCATAAAATCAACCATAGTTTTATATATGTATAATGCAATAAAATAAAATATTATTTAAAATAAAGCAGAAAATAGTGTTATATAACAAACTTGCAATATAATTATTATATTTATAGATAAATCTCAATCGTATAATATATATATTAAGTGCCCAATAGTAAGAAAATTATTAAATTTTATATAATTTATCAATTATTTGCAAAATATT